AGTTTTGCTTAAGAAAGGACTTGTGTCGCTAAAGTTTCGTCGGAACGAATTCACGGGAAATCAATTAACAAATGGAGACGTAACAACTGTATAGATTTTGACATTTTATTCGGCATGTGTTGTCTTTTCACGCTTTTGGTTTACGTTTTAAATTATATATACATGTATCAGAGCGAAGTTGATTTAATGTTACAAGTGTAAAGATACAACTTATCATTAGAACGGCAATTTTCGTAAATTTGTATTACACACGTTAATCAGGGCCGTAGGATTACTTTTTCATGGCATGCATACCTACAGCATATGTATTAAAATTAGCCTCTTTTAATTCAATACATTACGTTGTGTATATGCAGTATTTGCGGTTCAAATGGCTCAAGATTCCATCTCATAGCAATAAATTTTTAAACAAATTCTGGGGGCCATGCCCCCGGACCCTCCTTGAAATGGCAACGTTGCAATGGCTTAAACACTCAAAAATCGCTTCCTACAGCAATGATAGTTCGTATTGTTGTAGACAAGTGCCTAGCCACATCTCCCTTCCGAGTGATGATCTAATAACTGTAGAAGTAGCGTCCGAAGTAAAACAGCTTGTTGTTCATATATGAGTGTGAATGATAATAAACACATTGTAAAAATGTTTAACTCTTCACGTAGAAATATATATACGTATATTTTTTATATATGTGTGTGTGTGTGTAGATATTATCCTTATATATAATGTCTACAATATAATGCTAAAGCGAAAATGTATTATCTATATGGAAGAAAACTGATACTGAATAGTTTATTCTTGAACAAACTCTGTTTTCGCCACCAGGGCAGTGTATACTCTTGTAGTATCTTTCGGTTTGTGTCTATAAGTCAAAGTAATCAGTAATGGAATTATTGACGTGTCAAATCTCGACGCCAATGGCAATCTGAGCTATATATCTGCAGCACGTGGTGCTCGTATGTATGTTAGTAGGTTAACCTTTAAGGATTACTCTAAGTCTAAATTACAGGAAGCGAAGACGGAGAACTGAAACTTCCAGTGAAAGTAACTCGCTAAGTAAATCGAAAGGCTGTTCTCTTGCAAATAAATTTAAAATGGGACTTTCTTATGAGGTATGTTACTGTTAGCATAGTTTATTGTCTCACTCTCATTTAATAATATTATCAAACTTGCCCGATAATAGAATCTGTTGCATTACATTTACACTGACTTAGGAGTTTGTGTTGTGAGCATTTTCTAATTTCATTATCTCGAAGTGATTTTATACTACAGTTACGTCAGTACTGCAGAAACAAAATATAGATATGAATATGATCCAATGTGGCATTGTAAATGTGTTGTACAGTTTTAGTCTAGATTTACAAATTAGTTATAATGATTGAGAATTTTTGCTATATAAACAATTTTGCATTAGATTTAAAACTAAATTAACAATGCCATGTCCATTAAAAAAATATTTCAAGTTCTACAAAGTCTTTACAACCAGCGTCAGTTTTGTGAAAGTTTCATAGTAATACCAATAATTTACTATATTCTTACAAATGCAGTTTCAGTTAAACTCGATGTTAATTGTTAAGCATTATTATAACATGCCCAAGCTACTTTCTGTTACTTTTAAATAGTTAAAATTATAGGAGAATTGATCATATTAAATTCTGCTGTATTGGTGCAAAAACACACTTTATTTTGGTCACCAGAAATAACAGGTTAAGTATCTATATTGTACAGAAGGATGTAAAGTGGAAGCTCCCAAATAGCTACTTTCTGTTACTTTTAAATAGTTAAAATTATAGGAGAATTGATCATATTAAATTCTGCTGTATTGGTGCAAAAACACACTTTATTTTGGTCACCAGAAATAACAGGTTAAGTATCTATATTGTACAGAAGGATGTAAAGTGGAAGCTCCCATTTTTCATTATATGAATTAATTAATTAAGTAGCTTAAATGTAAAAACGTGCTGGAGAAGTAATATAAAAACGTGGTGGTTATGGAGGTACCATATATCCTGAACTTAAGTTAAAATATGTTGTATTTGTAATGGTATTAATATATATGTTGCTGGGAAATTTTGATTTTATCAAACTTCCTAGCTACATACAAACATTTACTCTGATATTTTTGCAAGCTACTTTTTGCAGTTTTTATCATTTTGTCTAAAGAATTTCTGTGTAAATGATTGATTTTAAATAGACAGTATTATTTACAGAATGGAATTGAGAGTGAACCACTGTTTGACCCAAACATTTTGAAGGCCTTAGATTTTAGCAAGAGTAAGGTGATTTTTGACCCACCCATTTCAGTAATAGATCCAGGTGAAAATCTCAAGGTTCGTCCACTTTGTTCTGGGGATTATGATAGAGGTAAGTCTATTGAAAATAAAAGGAATAAAAATAGTTACAAATAATAGTATTTACTGAGAGCAGTGAAAATGTCATGATGCATTATAGCTTAAATGGCCTAAAATGTGACAGATTGGTTATTTTAAAGATTGGTTATTTTTCTAAAGCTGAGATACTCTTGATTTCCTAATAAACATAAAAGGATGCAGTTAAATGTTTTATTTCATTCTGGTAAATTAAAAGTGGGAAATTTTCTCTAACATGTTTAAATTGCTTTTACAGTTTCTGTATATTGTATAATTCACTAGCAAACTAAGAGTGAATATATAAATAGTGCACTCTTGTGTTATTCTCATTGTTGTCAACTTTTATAAAGAAATACACTAATCATTATCTCCTTAGACTTTAGAATAAATGTTGGACAATTTTTAAAAATTTGAAATTTATAATTGTATTTATAAGTGGTTATACTGACTGTCTATGTAAAGGAATGAATATGTTAAAAACAAGTCAGTAATTTGAGAGTAAATCTAGTGTTTAATTAATTAAATAATAGGTTTACCCTCACACTATTGGCTTGTTTTTATATCACTCATTATCAATAAAGTACATTTATTTAGTTTTTTTTTTTTACCTGTTACAACACTTGGTGTAAAGAAATAATCAAAGCAGTTGTGTGTAGTCACATAGTTTTTATGTAAACTACACAGGGGAACCCAGCAGTAATTAGTGCAATTAATTACAATTTTAATGTTTTTTGTTATAAACATATGTGAGAGTTGTATGCCATAAGAGATCCTGCAATCAACAAAATAATGAACCTATAAGTAATGTCTTTCATGACTATCTTGGGTATCCATCAGTTTTGTCTTTTTACACCTCCTCCACTCCATTGGTAATTTTGGGGTTAAAAGTACAAAGTGTAAAGATTTTTAAAAATTTCATTAAATTTCTGAGAAATAACAAGAGGCCATTAGGCTTATTTAGATTAATCCATTTTATGTAAGAAGTTGACTACAAACTACATCTGGAGTTGGTTTTCCTGTATCCAACCCTAATCTATCTATCTATATATATAATGCTCATCCAATTTCTGTTTTAATTCCAGTTTTGTAGCTTCTGCCACATATAAAGGCAAACCATTAACTTCACTACTTTTAATGTTTAAATTTTGTGATTTTTAACCTCATTTTTAGATAAGTGTATCCAGTTTTTAAATTACCTTACATGTTATTTGTTAAACTAGGTGTTGCTATAACACCCTTTCTTTATATTCTTTACAGCAAATTTTTATACAAAGGATAGTAACCTGCTTACTCATAAATTCAAAATTTATTTAAATGGATTTTAGAACTCTGTTATCATTTTGTTTTCTCACATCTAGAAACAGTTGGTTGATCTTTCTAATTTGATTAATAATCACTCCTAAACTCTTCTTTTTATGCACAATATCATATCTTCCTCCTTTAAAAGAGCTTAGTTCCTTGTAAATTTTCATACCATTCACCCCCCAAGTACATCATTTTAATTTTCTTGATTTTACAAATACATGCACTTTTTGTAGTTTTCTTTCCATTTGCTAATAATATCTTGATCCTTTTCAATTAAAATATTTTTAAGAACATCAAGCTTATTCAGATTTTAAAAATTACTAATGCAAGTAAGACCCTGAATGATGTCCACATTGTGTTAAGTTTATGGTTAACTTCTTTGCTAACTTCTGTATTTTGGGTACTTGCTTTCAGAGATCAGGAAAATTTTGACACTTAGAAAACATAACACATTAACTCTTTTTTTTTTTTTTCAAGAGGGGAGGTTATGAATTTTACAGGCACCTCCATTTGACTTGAATGAATTAAGCATATTTTAGTCACTGAGAAACAAGGTAAGCACAACATATTCCAAGTACTACTTCTTTGTTGGGAATACGTAAAAATATATGAAAATTAAGAAACTTGAAAAATGGATATCAAGTACTATATCAAAGTAATTCAGTAATAAAGTCAAAATATGATTAGTTACAAAAGTTATAGTAGTTTTGTATGTTTTGTAAGAAACTAAAGCAAAAGTGTTGAAATTTTTCTTGCAGGATATTTAAAATTACTGTCCTTTTTGACCAAAGTTGGAGATATTTCAAGGAAACAATTCTTGGGTATGTTCTACTTTTTATGTCTGTAGTCATACTTGATATCATTTGTGCAATAGAGCATGGATAGTTTAGATAATGTTTTTTAAGTGACTTAAGTTTTATTCATATTAATGGACTTTATATGTTCAATGTTAATATTAATAGCAAGATAAGATAAACTGTGATAAAATTTGATCTGTCGTCAGAAGAATGATTTGATTTTTCTACAAAAGTAAACATACCACACACAGGGTGTGAAAATGTACATGGAGGTTGGGCATGTGTTATCTAGAATAAAGATATACAAAAAAAGCATAAATAAGCTGTAATCATAAGTTTGTTAAAATACCAACTTCAAGATTGGCTGCATGCAATGAACACTTATGGTTGAATAGTCCTCTGTATGCACTGATGCATTAATTACACATTGGTTCTCCAGTAAGGTTACATGTATACTGTAATGTGACCCAGAAATACAGTAGCTAATTTTGTAATTTAACTACACGTGCAGAAAAAGTTAAGAACACATGGAAGTAATAAACATCTGTGGAGAAAAGTATTTCCATGATTATAAGTATAAATGATATATAATACCAAATAAGAGACAAGGTCACCCCTTTCACATACTGAAAAAAAAACTTCTCATTTCATATCTGGCATTGGATTGACCTAAATTCAATTGCTGCTACATAGCTAAATTAGACTGTCTTAGGCTCTAACTTTTTTATATTATCAACCAAGGTCTGTGGAAGAAAACCTGTCTCTGGAATCTTGTCTCCAGACAGTTTCTTGTTTACCTTGAATGTTAGATGGAAACTAGCTCATGGAAATATCTTTTAACTGTAATCATCAATAAACTTGATTTATTGAGAAAAACGGTTTTTTTTTAAAATTTTGCTTAAAGATAGAATTCTTGTTAGTTTTGTGTTCATTGTAGTAAATTTAATAGTTCCACTTCTGTTTCTTATGTTTGAGTCACATTTACATAAGTAACATACACACAGAAACATATAGTTACAGTTGGTGAATTTTGGTGTAAGTAGCTTATTAAGATTTTACAGTACTTTCCATAAAGTGCTAATATATTGTTCATGTGGAAGCTGTAGTGTTGTTTCAGCAATGCTTTTAAAAAAGATCTATATCTTTTATGTGTTTTTCAGCTAGATAGTGTTTTTACACAAGGTAAAAAAGGTCAAAGTTTTGAAAACACAATTAGCAATTCTTTCATCTTTTAAGAGCAATAAGCATTTTTATCTTGAATTAATATGAAAATAATAAGTATTGCCAGTTATGATGTACCATATTTTTTGGAATATAAGATGCACCTTTATTTTGAAGACAAAGTTTTTTGGGGGAAAAAAGCTACAGTTGCA